GTTGTGATGTTTCCCTTACCAGTGTTAACTGTGTTAATGCCTACTATAATGGGTATTTTCCGTGGAAAAAAATCATAGAACTCACTTGGCTAACATCGAGTACAAACTGACAACCTGAATCCCGGTTCCAGGATTCACAGAACTTAGATTTATGTCAGTTCTGTTCTAGGATACAGATGTCCTGGTTGTCTACATACTGTTCTCGGGACCTTGGTCCTATTCCTGAGTATAAGGATCCTGCTTCGCTGCTCTCCCCCGACGCCCACCCCAAACTTTTCCCTCTCCCAGACTTGATAGTCCGCAGTACTGTTATTGTAAACATGTATCTGCTTACACAGCAAGATAGTTAGGATACATTGCAATTTAACTACTGAAGGGGATTTCTTGACACGAACCCACATTTGGAAGAGGTTTGGGCTGACAGGCCAGAAGTGAGGGGAGAGTAGGAATGTATAATTCAAGTGCCTTTATAACCTGTTTCTCTCTAAGGACCATCCTGCCCATGTTCGGGGTCATTCAGAACCTCACTCCTATAAGTTTGAGGTATAGATATTAACATCCTTTGAAATGAAGTCACCCCAGGCACATTTGTTGCATCATTACTTTCTCAATTTCAAGGTGCATTGAGGAGGCAGAAACATTCCTTAAAGAGATGCCATCCACAATAGCAGGTTAAATGTAGCTAATGTATCCTTAAATTAGCCTTTCCAAGAGTACAGGAACACACTTATGTATGCTTTGTTTTGGAGTACAGATAATGTGAAAACTAGCAGTGCAGTCAAACAGACTTATCTGCTCAGAAACAGTTGCTTCTTGATTAGCTACACCATTGGAGGAGAATATTAGTAGAGAAAGCATTAAACTGTGGCTAATTTATCTCCTCAAATTCTCAAAGTCTGAGCCAATGTACCAGGTAACTACTAGTATGTCAGGTAGATTGTCAGACCTATAAATAAACCACCCCATGGGAAACCTAGGGCTGAGAGTCTCTGCAACTAGACATGGAATGCTGGAGTTCTTAATCCAGAACCTAGAAGGGTTCGGGAATCTGGAGAAGGCGCTATCTATAAATGATTAAAGAGTCCAGAGATGAAACATAATTTTAGAAGTCCTTATGGGCAGCCAGAGAAGACTTAGCTAAAGGAACTAAATTCTCCTAGCTTTTTATTAACACAAATTGTCCTAAGACAAGGTAGATATACATCAAAGGCATGGGTTGGGTATACAGAATCCATTGTCAGATTGGAAGAATTGCCTTCTGCTGTTCAGGTGTTTGGCCAGTAGGAGGCAATAACATGTAGATTGAAATGCCCTCAGCTGTCTGGCAGCAAGCAATCATTGATGCATCCTTTTCAGGTTTGGGGATATGTCCTCCGCCATTACAGATGATCCAGCCCTGCTGACATGCTGGAATTGGCTTTTGGCAATGGAAGCAGAAATGGTTGTTTGGTAGTCTTCCTCTGAAATCAGCATTCTGTTGTAACCCTCAGTGTTACCGCTTAAAGTCTGAGGCCTTTAACTTTATTTTTTTTTAAATTTTATATCATTATCTAACCACTGTGCTCTACACCTCAAACTAATATAAAATAATATTGAATGTAAACTCTAATTAGGGGGGGAAAAAGAAAAAAAGAAAAAAAAGACCATCCAAAATAAAGTTCCCAACATAAAGTATCTACCCAGTCTCTGTCAGGAAAAAAAAAACCACATGGCAGTAGGAGGCAATAGCATGTAGATTAAGATGCCCTGAGCTGTCTGGCAGCAAACAATAAATTTGATGCGTCCTTTTCAGGTTTGGAGAAATGACTTTAGCCATTCCAACAGGCGATAACATATGTGACTCAGCCCTTGTTGAGTCCCCAAGTTCCATCAACCTTTTGATGAAACTCTTGCAATTATGACATGCTGGAATTGGCTTCCGGCAATGCCAATCAAAGGAAGTGCTTGAAGAGACATTTTTGTCTGCTTATAACTGAGATTTGACAGATTCTCTTTGCTGTCTTCCCATGTGTTTTTTCTGGAATAGGACTGTTGTAGGTGGAGACTTAGGAAGAGTCAGGAGCATGTGGTTTTTCTTTTTAGCTATTATTACATGGCTAAGAGTAGGTACCTTTGCTTCTGTTTGACCTCAGGACCAGTCTAATACAACTTCCTTTTTAGTATTAACATTAAAGACATACCTCTATGTGTGTGCACATCTTTTTCCCCCCCTAATAAATACATCTAAAAGATGGTGATGAGCAAAAGTCTCTTCCTAAAAAATAATAGATTATTGCAGTCTTAAGGGAAAGGGTCTTCTCTTCAAACACATTAAGTTGCCTCATTATTTGCAATAATCAGTTTGATAATTGTTGTTGACTTACTGGCTCAGCTCATGAATAATGTCCCGGATTTAGACAAGTATGGCAAAAGGATTTTAATGAGCTAGTGCTTTCTTACCCATGGAACATTTGTCTTGCTTGACTGTTCTGGACTTCAGCCAACTGCCAGAAAGGCCTTTCCCCACTCTATATGTAGAGTGGAATATGTGTTGCTTAAGTGTTCATTGAGAGGAGTTTTCAACCCACTAAAGTTCCTTGTGCCATTACCTTTTTTCCAATGTGCCATTAGAGACACAGAGAACGGATGAGTGTCTCTCCTTTTCTCAGAGAATCTGTTTGAAGAGAAGGATGAATCTCATCACTATAAATACTATTTTCGCCCCAGCCTACCTCCCTGCTTCCGAAGCAGAACCCCTTTGGCTGTTGTGAACACTCTCAAATATTTGATGGCCTCTTAAATTTTCATTATCTAATGTGCATAAATTTAGATACAATAGCTCTGTTACTAGGAGCAGAGTTAGCAAGGAAGAGCTTGGCCCGTTTATGTCGCAGGCATCAGAAAAGTGTGCAGAGTTTGCTGCCCTCAAAGGGAGTATGCAGTTCTGCTGGCTGGGCTACAAACCACAGAAATTCTGAGATCCAGGAACCCCATCACATGCAGTGTGATATTTTGAAACTTGCTTATTCAGTCATCTATTGAAATAGCTTGAGAGAGACTGAAAGGATTGGAAGGCTCTACATCCTCTGTAGCTTAGAGCTCTGAGGTTCAAATGCCCATAATTTGGTACTCTTGAGGGTAGAATGCATGCACTAACTTCATGTGGCTGTGTGAGAAGAGTTTAGAAAGTGCTGTGTGGTTTCATGGTTTCTTTTTTCTACTAGAGGCCCAGGGCATGAATTTTGCACAGGTAGAGTCCCTAGGCCTGGCCGGCAATCAGAGCCAATAAGGGCCTTACAGCTCCTGGCCGGGGCCTCCCTTCCCTGGCTGCCAGCTGGGGCCTTCCTTCATTCCCTGGTGGTCAGTGGACATCATAGAGAGCTATCGAACTTCCAATCTCCTGGTTGAACTTTCAAGAGGACACTTTGCATGTCAGCCATACACACACACACACACACACACACACACACACACACACACACACACACTAGAGGCCTAGTGCACAAAATTTGTGCACTGCGGGGGAAGAGAGGGTTCCCTCAGCCAAGCCTGCCTGTTATCACAGACTGGGAGCCCCCAGGAGATGTCCTACTGATGGGGAGCAGGCCTAAGCCTCAGTCTGGCCTTCCTCTGCGGGAGGTGACTGAGCTGATGAGAGGAAGGCGCCAGCCCCATTACCCCGCTGCTGCTGCCATTGCCACAGCCACCAAGGTGTTTACATCAACACAGACTCCAGTCCCTTCACCATGAAAAAATGACAACTTTCTTTAGGCACTTTCAAGATGTGTCTTTCATAGGATATGACATTTCTTTTCTTTCTTTTTTATCTTCACCTGAGGATATGTTTCCATTGATTTTTAGAGAGCTTGGAAGAGAGAGGGAAGACAGAGAGAAACATCAATGTGAGAGGGATACTTCGATTGGTTGCCTCCTGCATGAGCCCTGGCCTGGGCCCTGGCCAGGGAGGGGTCTGAAACCTAGGTACATACCCTTGATCAGAATCAAACCCAGACCCTGCAATCAGCAGGCCAACGCTCTATCCACTGAGCTAAACTGGCTGGGTTAAGATATGACATTACTTAGCCCCTCCTACAGCAGACCTTAGTTTTTCCTCCAGGAGTGAGGTGGAGAAACCCTAGGTCACCTTCTTGGATTCTTATTACTCAAGTTACCAAGAACACTGTTAGAGGCAGCTTACAGGGAGCTTAGCCAATGAACCTTCAGAAAAGGTGTTTCCTCTGCAGCTCATGCACAGAGGACCCCTGCATTCCTGCACTGTGTCCACAGGGCTTCTGCCCACTGGGCTGGAGCATGCCCCAAGCCACACTGGGGTGCTGCCGAGAGCATGTCCCCAGCCAGCAGCCTTGCTTTCTGTCAGCTGGCCTTCTGTCTGCTGGGCCAGGGGCTTCTCCCAAGGCCAGTAGCGGCCTGGGAATAGAGTAGGGTGCCCAGGTCCTGACTCGTCCCTGAAGAGCTCCAAGAGCAGGGCTTGCTGTACTGGTGCCCAAATGAGGCTGCATTATTCTCTGCTGTGAGTGAGCCCTGAGTCTACATAACCTACTGAAGGTGGAAGAGAACTGCTTTGGGTTTCCTGGGAAAGGGCTTAGGGGCTAGCTATATCACATAGCCTGAGGATCACTTTGTTTCTTAATGAAAATGAAAGGTTAAATTAAACGACATAGAAGTTTAGTTTTGTTGTTCTCTCAATTTCATGTAGAAGAAATAGGAGCTATTTCCTGTCCCAGTGAAGGAGTGAAATTATCATTAAAGCACCTTCCTCACTTGTATTGTATATACACTGATTGCTGAGTAACTGAACAGAGGGAGGCAGAGAGTCGGTGAAGAATGTTCTGAAAACTTTTGGTTAATTCTGTCTCTTCTCTGGAAGTCACATGGATATCTGTCTAGTCTATGTCATGTTTATAGAAATGTCTAATTTCACAGGTTTATTAGCCTAGATTCCCATGGTTTGTGAGACCGTGTCCTAATGTCTAAAGATTCTTTCTTCCTTTCTCCACTAGGATACCCAAAAAGCAAAGCAGTTCCTGCCCTTTCTCCAGCGGGCAGGTCGTTCTGAAGCTGTGGTGGAATATGTCTTCAGCGGTTCTCGTCTCAAGCTCTATTTGCCAAAGGAAACTTGCCTTATCACCTTTTTGCTCGCAGGTATGTTTTACTAGTATGTGCTATGTGTTGCTGTGGAAATTGTTCCTGGAGCTCAGAAGTCATTTCCGGAGGTCACATGCCTTCTTTCCCCGTGTCTTACATAGCCCTGAGCCCAAGACATTTCTAGATTTGGTCCTTCTGTCACTGGGCTCTCCTGTTCCTCATTTCCACCATCACCGGGATGCAGGAGTAGAGTGCTTTAAACGATAGCACATATCCTCAGACAATCTGAGTGAAGGGGATTCCAGGCATAGAAAACTTGTAATGATGGAGTTCTCACAGTTGGTATTTCCTGTTTGGAATAGATCCTGCCCCCGCCGTGCTAGTCCTGGGCAGGCCTCAGAGGAGCTGAACACCTGCCTTGTAGCTCCCCAGGCAGTGCCGATTGTCTCTCTCTCATTCTTTTCAAATGCCATTAGGATCTAAGTGCTTGATGAAACCCCACATGACATACCTTCACAGGCTCCTGCACTGAGGTTGGCATTCTATGGCAAGCCTCTCTTTGCTGACTGAATATACATCTTTCTTATTCTGTTCTTTCTAGTAGCTTAATATTTCAAAAGCCAGCAAGACTGTCTATAAATCGTGCTTTTTGAACGATTTATATTTATACATTCATGGAGCAAATCTCTTCATTTATTCCCTATTGGTAAGTAACAGCCATTTGTTCAGTCAGGACTTTTAAGAAACTGTAGACTTTGAGAAAAAGTGTCATTTTATACCCTGTTCCCCACCCCATATTTACGAAAACACTCACTCACAAAGGACTTTCTCCTGTGTTACCCCGATGCACACTGTGTTTCTGAGGCTGTCCTGCTGCCTCGGCACTGCTTCTCTCGTATTCTTTTTTTTTTTAATATAGATTTTTTACAGAGAGGAAGAGAGATAGAGAGTTAGAAACATCAATGAGAGAGAATCATCGATCAGCTGCCTCCTGCACCACCCCTCCTGGGGGTGTGCCCACAACCAAGTACATGCTCTTGACCTGAATCGAACCCGGGACCCCTCAGTCCGCAGGCCGAAGCTCTATCCACTGAGCCAAACTGGTTCCAGCTCTCGTATTCCTGAGTAGAATTCATCTTGGGGGACATTCTCCATGCCCTGTTGCCTCAGCCTCCTCTTCTAGAAGGCCTGATAGTTTTTTTCTGTCAGGGTCTCTCTCAGCCCCAGCCAAATTGATTGTTGTGTGAGATAAAGCCCTCCCTGAACACAGGGCTGTCACTTCTGGTTGAAGCTTTTGCACACTCTAGCTAATGACCTCTCCACAGCTCTGCAGGCTTCCTGAGGGGCTAATTGTGGCCTGACACAAAGCTTAGAGGCAGCCATGGATGAGAAAGGCCACAACAAATCCACACCTCGTTTCTGCGAACGTGTGTTGTAGTTAACGAAGGGGTAGTGCAGCAGTGCGCGAGTCCTTCATGTAGCCATTGTGCCCTTAAGACGTCTATAGTGAAGTTCTTAGCAGTAACTTCTTGCTGTTACAGCATTTGAGGTATATATTTATCTCATCCTTTGCTCTCCACCTGCACAACAAAAGCTTCTTTTTGGCATTGTAGAGCTTCATCCAGAGGTGTGAAAGAAAAACAGTATTATTCTTTTTTTCTGGGAAACTTGGCCACAGATCTGTAGGGGAAAGAAAACATTGTAGTTCTGGCTTCCAAACTCGAAACCACCTGAATGGAGCTGGCTTTTAGCTTGGATTTATCTTGGTGGGGGTTTTCTTCAGCAGCCTTCTGGTTGTACCTTACTTAGACACCGCAGCTGATCACTCAGCCTGGCATCAGCTGGTTCCTCCGTGGACTTGGCATTATTCTAAGCTTAGCAATTCAAAAGGCATTGCCTGAGTTCCCTTACATTCTGAAAGACAGATTATACAAGCAAATGAATGATAAAAATGTAAGCTTTTACATCTGTCTCCTGCACTTATGCTATGCATCTTCTGGTTTCTTTAGAAACATGGCAAGGATACAAGACATTGAAGTCGTTAGAGAAAGCAGATCTCCATTTGAATCATGGCTCTACTCTACTCTATAGGAAGATTACTTACCCAGTTCAAGCCTCGGTTTATATATCAATTAACTGGAAAGAGTATCATGTCTCTCAGGATTGTTGTGAAAGTTTCATGAGATGAGTGAAGGGTGTAGAATAAGCCTACAATAAAGTAGATCATCAGTGCATATATTTCCTTCCTTGTGAGTTCTTACCTAGAGCTCTTCTTAACCCTTATATGTAACGGCCATTGGTCATAGTGTCCATGGTAGAGCAATAGTTATCTACTGATGCAAATCACTCAGGAAAAGGCACTATTCTAGTCTCCTCCTGACTGACGAGTTCACTGAACGGAAGGCAATTGGCTTTTCCTTTGAGACTTTGTAGCAAGGAATTCTGCATCATCCTCATAAGACTAGTTTCTAAGTCTCAGGAAGCTCTATAGGGTAGACATACATGTAAACAAACTGCAGTGATGGGGACTAGGTGAGATAATAGAGTCATTTACCATGCACAGAAGTAGCACAAAGACAGAAAGGATTGGTTATTAAGCCGGGCATTAGAGAATGCCTCCTTGAGGATCTGCTATCTGAGCTGTGTTTAGAAGGACAAATAGAAGTTTGCAGTGTTGGGGGAGGGTAGAGGTGGAGGTGGAGAGGAAGGCCTGAGGTAGAGATTACAGCATGTACAAAGCTGTAGAGGTTTCGGATACCCTGATGAGTCCAGGCAACTATGAACCCTTCGGTATCAGTGGAGTATAAACAATGAATGATGGGTTAAAATTGGAAATATAGGCAGGAGCTAGTCTTTTTTTAAAAATTGTTGTTGGAGCTAGTTTTCTTGGGTTAAGAAAATTCATTTTGGTGGATATATTGGGCTAAATGAGGCCAGAGGTTGGGAGAGCAGTTATGAGGCAAGAGGGATAAAGGCCTGAAATCTGGCAATGGAAAAGAAAAGAGATTGGAAAAGTATTGAGGAGAAAGACTTGATAATTTGGGAAATAACTGGATTTTTTGTTTTGTTTTGTTTTGTTTTATTCAGGGATAGGAGATGATGTTAAAATGTAGGAGAGAAAATATGCCCTGACCGGTGTGGCTCAGTGACAGAGCATCGGCCTACCGACGAAGGGTCCCAGTTTCGATTCCGGTCAAGGGCATGTGCCTTGGTTGTGGGCGCATCCCCAGTAGGAGCTGTGCAGGAGGCAGCTGATTGATGTTTCTAACTCTATCCCTCTCCCCTCCTTTCTGTAAAAAAAATCAATAATATATATATATATATATATATATATATATATATATGAGGAAAAAGCATTATTTGAGTAGGCAGAGTGTGATGTCTAAAAGCAACATGAAAGTAAGAATACGTTTTAAGTTTTAGAAAGAGATTGGTGAAGAGACTTTAGACATGTAATATTTGAGGTCAGCAAAGGGGCCTAAGCAAATTATTCACGTGGAGGAGCCATACGGCAATAGGTAAAACAGTTGCAGTGCCTAGAGGACTGGTGTGGGAAGAATAGACTCCCTAGAAAGTTCTGACCTGTGAGGAATATGCTAAGCATTCAAGAAAGAAAATGTGGTCAAAGGATTGAAGGAGAATCCCAAGATAGTAGTCTTTGGAAATGGGGGAAGTTGGAATTCCAAGGAGTGTGGGAGTTTACCTAAAAGATCAAATAGGTAAAAACTATGAAGTTCTTTTCTTATTTATCACTTAACTCGACTTATCCCATCACTCATTGGTGACCTTTGTCAGTGCAGTTGCCATCAGAGTTGATTCAGTCAAAGGCAGATTACAGGCAATTGGGGAATAAATGTGGGAAATAAGGATCAGAATTAAAAATAAACTGCTTTTCACAAGAATATGACAGAATGGAAAAGGAATACAGAAAATGGAAGCTAAGGGTCAAGGTAACAGTCTAAGGATGTCAGCATTTGAGTACTTTCATAATTGTAGTTCTTATTCAAGATTGGAACAGAATGTGGCATGTATAGTTGGACATGCTATTCAATATACCTTTTGTTTTCATAATATCAATTACAGAAAGTAAAACTCAACAAAATCTTTTTGGCAAATGAGAATACTAAAAAGATGGAGTGAGCAAATATAGGCAACATGAGAACTACCGGTCTGATTTCTGAGGAGAAGGAACTAAGAAAGAATGCAGAGAAGTGACTAATAGAGTAGTGACCTGGAAGAGATGGAATGAATAAAATGGATGGAGGAAGTATCCTTAGAGAGAGAAAGGCCCTTGGTTCTCTGAGACCACCTACAACTCTGAGAGTGAGTGGACACACAGCCCAGTATTCATGCTGTGGAGTTGTCCACCAGCTATACCGTGATCCTCGGAGCACAGCTTTGAGCTCTCTGTGGGGTCTGTGTCTCTGCACCATGTGAGAATGTTGGTCTGCTGGAAATGATGTCTCTGCAGCCAGGAGAAAGTTTGGGTTGTGATTCTCAAGGGGAAGTCAAGATAATCGTTCGGCAGCCCATGTGGGCTGCTCTCATTAATCCCAGCCTTTCAGAGAGTCCTCTGGACTTTAAGATGAGGTGGACACTTTCCGTTTTAATGTGGCCTTTTTTAGGCAGACGGCTCCACAGCTTGATAGGGAGTGGCATTTGGCCCAAGCCAGCTGGCCTCTCTGTCACGGTTCCTGCACCCCTGTCCGTGGGATGATTGCTTGGTCAGATGGGATAGCAGGTGGGGCTGGACAGCGTCAGCTGTAGCTAACAGGTTAGTGCCTCCTGAAGGCTCTTGCCCTTCAGTCCTTTGAGCACCTGGCTTAGGTTTGGTTGGTGAGCAGGTGACCTTACACCATCAGAACTGAGACTGTTCAAGGTCCCTTTGCCTGCTGCTTTGGCCGCCTCCTGTGTATATTATACTTACCGCATTCTTGCATTCTTGGAGGCAGTCAATCGTCCTAAGTTAACAGGAAGTCAAGAACAGACACAGCCTGCATTTGTTTAAAGGTACTCTTTTTCCTCACCTAGCATTTAGGGAGCTCCACATATTTCCC